GAGGCGTGTATGTGTCAAGCAGGGAACCAGGAAAGTGGGAGCAAGCTTGATGGCATCACACAGGAAGACCAGAGGCTGCCAAGGTCAATCTCAGAGCCCCAGGGTCTGCCCCTGGGGTTTACAGGCTTGTCACACGTGGTGTTTACATGGGTAGCTTGGACCAGACAAGCTTCTGGGGGAACACAGCCTGGTAGGGACAGGCTAGCTTCAGCCCCCAGCCAGCCAACTGGATATGTGTGGCGAGGTGGCCCCTAGAGGGTGCTGAAGGTGGCCTAGCACCACAGAACCCACCACTGAAGAGCACACCCCTGAGCTTGGAGAATGACCAAAAAGGACCAAGGGCAGCCTGGACTCCATGGGGGTTCAGAAGTTGCTACTGATTCCACAGAACATTATCCCAACTCGCGCCCTGCGCAAAACACCTGCTTCTAAGTCTACCCCTGAGAGAGTCCTCGCAGGTCTCAGTGTCAGGAAAAGCTGGACACATCTAGGTCTCCAGCTTGGCTCTGGCTGGGAGCAGAGTGGCAGGCAAGCTGTCCACACCCAGGCCTCCCGGCCACCTGGGAGCTGGGTTCAGCAGCAGCACAATGGGCCATCAGGCCTGGGTCTGGGCAACTGGGCCACTCCATGTGTAATGTGGGAAGGGTGGCAGATGTGTCACAGGCATCAAGACCCCCCTAACTTCTCAGGCTGGGTGGAGCCTGACCCTCTGCTTATTTGAACCCCCTTTTGCATCCTCAGTCCTTGTCTCCCCAGGGCAGAGCCTGATACCTGGGCCCTCAACCAAAAGTGTCCAGACTCATCTTCCTTCCCTCACTCCTGCTGCTCCTCTGGAAAGTGGTCTGGCCAAAGGCAAGAGGCTGCATTTCAGAGGGTCAGGTGTCCAAAATGCAGGGATGTCATCTGCAGCTTTGACCTTAAGCTCTCCTTGTAAATTTGCCCATAGCTCAATGATACTCCCTGGAGTTGGGATGGCCTTAATAATCCCCAGCCCTGTCCCCTCTGAGACTTTTGGGTCTAGACACCATGGGCTGCCCATCCAGACCCCCCTCACCTCTTTCTGGGGCAGCAATGACAAACAGCCCCGAAGGCCCCTGCCCTCTGGTCTGGCTCAGGAAGGGGCTATCCCCTGACACATAGGACCAGGAAAGAATTGGCTCATTCCCTTATTCATCGTCAACACTGAAGTGGACTAACTGTGGAGACAGACGGGGAGAAGCTGCTTCAGCTTTGTGTCAAACCCCTGTGCTGCAGGCACCAAGCTGGGAAGTGGGGAGTGGGAATCAGGGAAGCCTTGAGGAAAAGGAGATGTAGGGCTAGGTCATAACAGATAATTGTCTTTTCCAGATAAAAAAGAGAGGCATCACTGGCCAGGCCTGGAGAACTGAAACCACCTTTTCAGGAGCAGGCTGGAGCCTGGAGTGTGTGTGGAGATGAGAGCAGGAAGGCAAAGGCAGACCGGACTGGAGGGGAAGGTCTTCCGAGTCAGCTCCAAGCTTTTGAACTCTATCTTGAGGGCAATGGGGAGCTATTAAAGGTTTTAATTGAAAAAAATAGGGACTTTGGGCCGGCCCCGTGGCTCACTGGGGAGAGTGCGGTGCTGACAGCGCCGAGGCCACAGGTTCGGATCCTGTATGGGGATGGCCGGTGTGCTCACTGGCTGAGCGCGGTGGTGCAGACGACACCAAGCCAAGGGTTGCAATCCCCTTGCCAGTCAAAAAAAAAAGAAAAAAGAAAAAATAGGGACTTAACCTCCATGATCTTCCTCCCCAAACCCATAACCCAAATCTAATCACGAGAAAAATATGAGACAAGCCCAAACTTTAGGAATATTCTACAAAATACCTAACCAGCACTCCTCAAAACTTTCAAGGTAGGCAGAAACAAAGTCTGAGAAACTGTCAGACAAGAGGAAGCTAGACACATGACAACTAAATGTAATGTCGTATCCCGGAAGGGATCCTGGAACAGAAAAAGGACATTAAGGAAAACTGGTAAAATCCAAATAAATGTGAAGTTTAGTTAATACAATGTACTATGCATGTATACAATGGACTGTTATATTCAACAATAAAAAAGAATGAAATACTGTCACATGCTACAACATGGACAAGCCTTGAAAACACTGAGCTAAGTGGAAGCCAGACATGAAAGACCACATTTGGATGACTCCATTTATCTGAAATGCACAGAATAGACAAATCTAGAGACAGGAAGTGGATTAGTGGTTGCAGAGCTGGAGGGGAATGGGGGAGGGGAGTAGTAAGAAGGACTACCAATGGGTCAGGTTTCTTTTATGGTTGAAAAAAGATTCTAAAATTAAATTGTGATGGTTGCACAACCCTGTGAATATACTAAAGACCAATGAATTGTGAACTTTTTGAAGTATACACTTTAAATGGGTGGATTATATCTCATTAGAGCTGTTAAAAATAGTTCGTTAGATGTGACAAATATTCCACTATAAGATGTTAACAATAGAGGAAACTGGATGAACTCTGCACTATCTTTGTAAATTTCCTGAAACCTATAAAACTATTCTAAAATATTAAAAGCTTACTCAAATAAAAATAATCTATAATTAGTTATAAACTATATACATTTTTTTTTTAAAGCAGAGGAGTGGTATGTGTTCAGATGTGCTCTAAAGGCCACCCTGGCAATAAGCTATTTCCCTCCGAAGTGCTAACAGGGGCTTGAAACAGGCGGGAGACAGGGACATGGCCACAGGGAGGGAAAATGAGGCACTACTGGTGGTTCACAAGGGGAGAGGCATTCAGCTGGATGGGTGTGTATTAAATGTTTCCTGTTGCTGCTATAACAAATTACCACAAATTTAGGGGCTTAAAACCACACAAATTTATTATCTTACAGATCTAAAGGTCAGGAGTCCAAAATGGTTTTTACTGGGCTAAAGTCACATCAGCAGGGCTGCATCTCTCTGCGAGGCTCTGGGGAGGAAACTTTCCAGCTCCCCCAGGTCACCCACACCCTTGGCACATGCCCTTTCCTCGGTCTTCACAGCCAGCAGTGTGACCCTCCTGACTCCCTTTCACTTCAAGGGCCCTTGTGATCCCACTGGGCCCACCTCAACAATTCAGGGTAATCTCATCTCAAAATCTTACTTAATCCCACCTGCAAAGTTCCTTTTGCCATGTAAGGTAAGCTTAACAGCTTCTGGGGTTCAGGATGTGGACATCTTTGGGAGCCAACACTCTTCCCACCACAGGGTGGCACCAGTGAGGTGCACTCAGGAGGAGGCTGAGGGGAGGGGAGGTCAGCTTTGGGTGGGTTCAGTCAGAGGCGCCTGTAGGACACCCTGGGGGAACTACCCTTGCGTCCATCCACTCACCGAATACTCACTAAGCACTCCCAGAGATACAAGGAGATATAAAAGTGAACACTATCTTACTGGTCCTAAGACCCCTGCTTTTCATGTGTGAACATTTCTGAAATCAAGATCCATCTTTTAATCAATTTTACAACTGTACTTGGCAGGGGGTTTTCTTTCTTAGAGACATGTAAGGTAAGGTATCTTACCATTGATAGCTTCTTGGAGGCAACAAAATTCCAGTCTGGGCTGGCACTAGAGTGGGCATTGCCAGAAGATCAAGTACCCCCACCTGGTTGGGCCCCCTATCTTTCCCTAGTTCCTACCCTGGCTCCTTCTGCCCTAGGGCTCCCGTGTGTCCTGCGGCTGTGGTGCTCAGACCCCCTATAACTAATGTAACTGATTTGGCCACACACGTGCTCAGCTCTGCCACCACCACAGGGTCCAGGACTGGCCTCTGTCCCCGGGTGTACCTCAGTCATGGGGTCTCAACCTGGCTACACACTGGAAACACCTGGGGAGCTTCTAAAAGACCAAAGCCCAGGCCACAACCTAGACCAACTCAATGAGAATCTCTAAGGAGGAGGATTTTACAGCTCCCAGGAGATTCCAACAGGAAGCTAAGGTGGGAAAGTGTAAGAAATCAGTCTAAGGAGCAGCATAAGGCAGCACTGGTGAGGGTGGAGGGTGCTAGGTCCAGACTACAGAAATGTAACTGTCTCCATGCCCCCTCCACCAGACTCTGGATTCCTGGAAGGAGACCTGTCCACATATCTCAGTTTCCTCAAGGCACCAGCCCTGCCAGGCGCACAGTGGGAAATGAGAACTCAAAGGGCCTGGCAGAAAAGACTTTGTTCCAAGATCTGGGAAAGAAGCCCACTGGGTCTGGGCCAGCTCTCTGATTCACTGTGTGACCTCCGGTGAGTCACTGCCCCTCTCTGTGCCCATACAATGCATGGTTGGCCCAGGTAGCCTTGAAGGACCCTTTGCGTGCCTACATTGAGTTTGCACTTCACCTAAGGGCTGCGGGGACCATGGCAAGGGATAGAGGAGGAGCCAGATTAGGGAAGATACTGGCTCTCAGAATTGTAGGGACTTTGGATGATCTTAAAACAGGCATCCCACTTCTGTCTGATGTCCAGGGAGCTTGAGAGGGTGTGGAGCCAGTGAGTATGAGGCTTCCTTCTCACCTTAAAACAGGCATCCCACTTCTGTCTGATGTCCAGGGAGCTTGAGAGGGTGTGGAGCCAGTATGAGGCTTCCTTCTCATGCAAACAGGGCCCCAAAGTCTTCCAGATGTCCCAACACTTCCAGGCTTAAAATCTCCACTTCTGGGGCTCTATGCCCTGGTGGCTGCAAGGACAGAGAATCTGAAGTCCTTAAAGCCAAAAACCTAAGAACGGCAAAACAAAAACCTCCAGAGAAGACTGGAGAATAATATGTGAGTAGAAGGATTTTTACATGGCACACAAACTCCAGGGGGGAGGCCACAGGACACCCAACAAGCCCATGCTCTGCCTCTAAGTGCGGTAAATAAGGGTGAGGTGGCTCAAGACACCGGAGAGAAACTCCCACGAAGGAACTTCATGGGAGGAAACCCTCAAGGAGCAAGGCAAGTCCAAAGGGGCTGTGAAGGTCCCTGGCTTCTGGCCACCAGCACAGCCAAGGCCCTATTATACAACTAAAGGCTTTTATTGGGAAAGGGACATTAACTGAAAAGTGGCCTCCAATATCCTCACTGCCTGAGGCAGGGGGGCCTCCTCCATAAAGTCCAGGAAAGAAGGGATCACCAAACTGGGCCCTCAGGCTCAGGTGTAGAGGTCAAAGTCAATGCGTTTGGAGTTGTAGAACTGACCACCTGGGGGGTCCAGCTTCCGGCAGTAAACACCATCTGGGAAGTAGCCTTCACTCACCCAGGTCTGCAGGAAAAGAAAGCAGAACTAGGTTAGGACCGATAGCAATGTGGGGTAGGGAGGGACAAGGCAGAACGAAGAGAAAGGGGCTTACCTGCATCTGGGTGCTGGTGAAGGGCCCATACAGCTCAGCATCCCCTGTGTTCTCCCACTTATACTCCCACATCACATCCACCAGACCATCTCCTGGCGATTCTGCTTCTGAAATAACAGGCAAAGCCACGTGGGTCTCAAGTGCCCGGCCTCCTGCCCACAGTGCCCCTCTCCTGCCTTCTAAGCTCACCTCCTCTCTGGGTAGGGGTTGGGGTCTCCAGCTCCTCCTCTGCCACTTCCTCAGCAAACATGTCCAGAGAGGGTGGGGGCGTGGGATCAGGAGGTCCCTGGGTCTGGCACCCCAACCCCTTCAGGCGCATGGCCAACCGTTCCCTCGTTTCCTGGTATACACCAAGGTTGCCCCGGGCCACCATCTGGTCAGCCAACCCGCAGAGTCGGTCCAGGCGCTGGGGGGAACTGGGCCGCCCAGTCCCCTTGTTGGCCCCTTTGCTTCCTCCTCGGGCCCCCAAACGCCTCAGTGCCCCAGCCACTGTCTCTCTGGGCAACAGCAGTTCCAGAAGTCCCTCCAGGAGGGCTTGGGCACTCATTGGGGTCTGGCCCAGGCTGTCCTCTTCCTCTGAGTCTGAGGCCTGGCGTTGATCAGGTGGCCGCTCCCTAATCTTCACCTATAACAGGAAAATAGGGGAGTTACTTCCTCCAAACTGCCACAGGGGCCGAGGCCCAAGCCCTTGTGCCACTCCCAGGCCCCAGCCATGCTAGTCCCTGGGCCGCACCCAGTCAATGTTGTCCAGCCAGCTGTCTCGGATCTGAGCATCCCGGTTCAGAAAGTAGTTGCCATCAGCATCAAAGTGGCCTTCCTCCATCTCTTCCTGTAGGTTGAAGGGTGTGATCCGCACATCCCCCTCGCTGGGGAGTGTGGCTGCTTCCTGACCTGTATCAAAGACACAGTTGCTCCATGCTAGGTATGAAAAAAAGAGACAGGAGCCTCCCTTGCTCCATATCTCCAGAAGCCCCTACTTGTCCCCCCAGCAGAGTCAATTCTTAGGTATAGTTCACCTTCTACATCCTCTGAAGCCAGGATGTCATATTTGCTGGATCCCTCCTCATCATCATCCTCCTCATCGCTGTCCAAAGAGTGTTTGCCTTTGAAACGGCTCCCAGGACCCCCTGCCCCAGCCACAGGGTCCACCAGCTGTGAACAGGAGCAGCAAGTTGAGAAATGCAAATTATTGCCTACTTTCCCAAACACTCCAGAATCTGTACCCAAATTTAAAATCCTCCACCAAACTCATTCCTCAAAGAACCCGAAAAACACCCCTTCTTTGTCCTCCCAGCTTTCTTCCTCTTCAGGCTTCTAGCTCCTCTCTCACACGCTCCTCCCCAGAACACAACCTCTCACCTTCTTCTTGGGGACACTGAATTCGTCCTCATCATCTTCATCTCCCACGCCTTGGAAGGTCACTTTCCTCTTTGGCATGATGGGACAGACGGACCCTCCTCAAGCTGAAGAAAAGGATGCAGAGTACGGAAACTGAGTGAGAAGGGAACTCCCCGCGAGAGGCCCCCGTACAACAAACATTTTTCCTGATATGTGCCAGTTTGGGAGGGGAGGGTGCATAAAGCAGGGGCTGGAAAAGGAGCTAGCAGCCAGGAGGTCCGCAGGATTTAGTTCGGCATCCTAGAGAATTAATGGGGGGGAAACGGAGGGGCGGACCCGCGGAAGATCTCTCAGGTGACCCTATGGGTACCACCACCCTGGACGAAAGAAGACAGGCTTCCCCACGTGATCACCCCACATCCGGCTCCCGCAGTCGGCGCGACGGGGCTCGGCGTGCTGACACCCGCTCCCCCACCCCCAGCTCCCTCGAAGCCCGCGGGCCTGGGCAGACACAGGATCTGGCGCCCTGGCCACCCCCCACATCCCCTCAGCCGAACTCCCAATTCCGCCTGGTGACCTCCAACTGTCCCGGGCTGTGTGTACAAACTAGACAGGTGGCAGAGCCACAGGGATTTGACAATCGCACCCGCTCACCTGAGGATCCACGGAGTGAGGAGAAGAAAAGCAGAGATGGTTTCTTCAGGGCTACATCCGGGGCACCTGCCGCCATAACCCGGAAGCGGGCGGCGGAAGGCGCCAAGGGAGACCGGAAGTAGCTTCACTCGGTTAGAGGACTAACTGGAAGAGCGGGCAGAAGTTCGCGGTGAGCGAGGGAAGGCACTCCCACCCCCTCCCCGCCAGAAGTGATGTGAGCCGCGTGGGGCTACGATGCCATAAGAAGGGACGTAGGAACGCCTAGCCCGTAATCGGCCGAGAGAGATGGCCTGAGGTGCTTTCGATTCCCGCACACAGCAGCGGAGACTCCGGAGAGGACTCTGGATCGTACTCTACTTAAAGGGGCGCTCAAGATCAGGATGGAAGGGCAAAGTCCAAGCAGCGCCAGTGGGTTCATACCCCCGTTTCTCTTTCCAGGGTTCCAGTCACCCTTTCTCTAGGACTGGTCAAGGACTCTGCGCCCCTCACCATCTCATAGAAATCCAGCCTTCCCACTCCTATCGTCCAATTGTCAGCCCTCCCCTGGTCTGACAGGTGCGGGCTTCTCTTCTCCCCTAGGGGAAGCCCGGGTCTCCTGATGGCCCGCCTGGGTCCCCTGACGCTCTTGGGGCACTTTCAGAACCCAGTTCCCTTTAGGACCCAGGGGAAGTCTTGTGCCCCAGGCCTATCCCCTTGGCTGGTTCCTGGTTTCTGAGGTAGGAGAGCCATCACGGAAAAGGTGGCATTGGCACCTGTGTCCGGTACTCAGGCCAGAAGCCCCTTGTACCCTGCTCTCAGGTAGGCCTGAAAAAGGGTAACAGTGGCTCTCTTGAACCACAGCTGCAGGATGAACCCCCCCTCCACCGCTTTAGCAAACGGGGCCCAGCGACCCCCAGCCCAAGTGATGCAATCTGACCCAAGCAAAGGAGGGGTCGGGAGGGGGGAGAGGTCAGTCCCTGTGTTGTGGGGACCCTTTAGCTCTAGACAACACTCAGAGCCTGAATACCCCTAGGCCAAGACCACCCAGGAGGAGCCTGCTGGGGCCAGAAAAGGGCGGCATGGGGCTACTCCCAGGCAACCAAACGGGTCACTCTTCCTCTCTCCCCCAGGGATTCCCCCCATATTGGATCACCATGAAACTGCACAAAAAGTCTGTGCTCAGTTTCTTTAATGGGTGCAGGACACAGGCCCCTGTGAGGGCATCTTGCTAAAGAAGGGTGCCCGAAACACCAGCTACCAGCACCACTGGTTCATCCTCTGGGGAAATCCCTTCTACCTGAAACACCAGGCAGACCACACACCCCTGGGCCTCATCCTGTTGGAGAACTGCTAGGCGGAGCCACGCCTTAAGGCAACCAATCCCTATTCCTCTACCATCCTGACCGACAGGGTGGAGGGCACAGGTGGGCAGGCCTACAAGCTGGCTGCAGAAAACCAGGAACAGCTGGAGGCTTGGCTGTGGGCGCTGGCTGGGGTAGCTGGAGGCGGCTGGCTCTGCGGCTGTCCCCCCTGCAGGCCCAGTACCAGGAGCTGTGCCAGGAAGCTGGACAAGAGCCCAGCTCACCCCCAGAGGACTGTGGCTTTCTAGCCACTCTTAGTCCCCCCTCAGGCTTCCAGGAGCTGCATGAACACTTTGGGAAGGCGATCCAGGTGCTGCTGGTACTGTGTGGAGGACTCCTGACCAGTGACAATGGAGGAAGCAGATCCCAAGCAAAGCTAGAGCAGGAGCTCAACCAGTATTGATGTGTGACTCAGATGGACCAAAGGCCAAGAGGTACCTACCTGCCAAGATCAGCAGACTGCTTCAGTAGAGACCCAGGAGGTCCTGGCTCTCCCCCTCCCTCCCTAGTCCTTACTTCAAATCCCCTCATCAAATAACAAGGCAGAAGACAGGCACAGGTACAACAGCAGGTTCTTTTCCGGTTCCTCAAAGCGCCACATGGGGTGGGGACAGAGACAGAAGAGAATGTAAACATTGGGTTCCACCCCCTGGAGCTCAAAAGAAAACCCTTACTCAGATAGGGGCTGAGGGTTGGAAGCAAACAAGGTGAAAAGTGGGGTCCTGGTGAGACAAGGCAGGGGAGGCCTGAGAAGAAAGAGCAAGGGGGGAAGGTAGAGGGAGAGCAGCAGGGTGGTGGGAGAGGAAGTGGGGGACAGTTCCCATTCCAGTGCATGTCCCCTTAAATAAACCCAAGTGCAGGAGCATTACGGAAGGAGAACCAAAGGACAGAAGACAGAGCAAGCACCCCACCCCGGGGCCAACCCAGTCCTTGTACATAATTACTACACAGAGATGTCCAGAAGTAGAGCAAGGAGAGCTGTGGCCCCCAGCCTGGAAATGAGGGACACAGGCAGGGCTGAGGAAGGGAAAAGGAACTCACCTCCACCTCATGGGGAAGGAAAGGGAGTGTAAGAATCTGAAAACTGCGATTCCCATTGCCAAGAGCCACCCTGTGGTGACAAGAGGCCAATCGGGACAGCACCTGGGAGGAGATCCCAGAGGGAATTGGGGCAGGAGTGACAGAGACCCCAGCTGGGCCTGACTGGAGGTGAGAGGGCCCAAATGTATTCATGGCTGCCCCGGGGAATACAGCTGCCCCATACACTGCCCAGAGGGAATTGGGGCAGGAGTGACAGAGACCCCAGCTGGGCCTGACTGGAGGTGAGAGGACCCAAATGTGTTCATGGCTGCCCCGGGGAATACAGCTGCCCCATACACTATGGCTGTCCTGGCTATGAAGGGAGCAGCAGCTGGCGAGGAGACGGGGAATCAAGCCACTTTCCTCAGAAAGAGGGACCATCTGCTAGGGGACTGGGGGCAGCACCCTAAGCCAGGTCTGCTCTTGGTTGAGGGAAAAAGGGGGGCAATGCGGTCCAGCCCCAGGGCAGAGGTCAGAAGTAAGCGTCCTGCCGGGCCTCAGCTGCTGAGGGCCTGTCCCCGCCATCCTGGGGTGCTGGGGGTCCATCCGCCTTTCGACGCAACGAGAGCTTCCGGCCTTGGCCCTTCTTCTCCTGCTTCTGCCGCTCCTTCTCCTGCTTCTGCTGCTCCTTCTGCTTCTGCTGCTCCTTCTCCTGCTTCTGCCGCTCCTTCTCCTGTTTCTGCTGTTCTCTCTCCTGCTCTTTTTCCCACTTCTGCCGCTCCTTCTCCTGCTTCTCCCGCTCTTTCTCCTGTTTCTGCCGCTCCTTCTCCCGTTCCTTTTCCTGTTTCTGTCGCTCCTTCTCCTGCCTCCGGGTCTCCTTGCTGGGAGCCAAGGTGGTGCTGCTACCAGTCGGTGAGGGAAGAGATGGATGCAGTCCCTCAGCAGTAACCACAGGCCCTGGGGCAGGCCCAGCACTGGCTCTGCGGGCAGGAGGGGGCGGGGAGGGGGCCCCTCCAGCTGCCCGGGAGCCTCTGCTCTTGAGGCCAGAAAGGCTGAGGAGGCTGGACGAGGGGCCCAAGGGGGGCTGCTGCCGCCGGCGCTCCTCGTGGATGGCCCGCGAGCCATGCAGTCGTCGTGAGGGCCGATACTGCAGCTCCCCCCGGGTTTCACGCCACTTTTTGAGCTGGGCTGCATTCTCCCGCTCAATCAGTGCTTCTGTCACAGGGAGATTGGTCACCTAGAAGGAGAGAAAATGGATACCAGCATGAAGAGGAGGGTGGGAATGGACTGGAGCAGACGGGTGTGCTGAGGCCCAAGGCCTACCTCATGCACCAGGAAGTCCTCCTGCATGCACTGTTGGGGTAAGTTGCGCAGCTGCTCCATGGTTTCATACATGCCTTGGCAGGAGCGCACCTTCTCCACTGAGCCCAGCGTGTGTCGCAGCAGCACTAGGGCCACACGGAAGATGATCTTAACGCCTGCAAGGTTAGAGAGGAGAGAGCATGGGGAAAATGGGCCTAGGACCTCAGCCTGGCCCATTTAGGAGGGACTCAGCCCCCATCCCCAAATACTGCCAACCTTACAGGTGAGAAAACTGAGGCCCCAAGAAGGGAAATGAGTTGCTATGGGTCTCAGATTGCTGGGAGGGAGCGCAGGCTCTTGGTTGGTGGCAAAGCCAAGATCAGGCTATTTCTCCACCTCCAGGCTGCTTACAATGAAGCCTTGGCCAAAAAGTACCCTTTGTCCACGGACCACCAGAAACGTGACAAGACCCTTGGCAGCCACCATGGAGAGCCCAGCCCCCTCCTGGCCTGGGTGGCCACAGAAATACCTTCACAGAAAAACATGTCCCAGACGCGCAGCACTGAAGCCCAGGGAAGGGTGCGGGCAAAGATGCACATGAACCATTCTGTCATGTAGAGCACGGGGTCGATGCGCTGCCGCCGCAGGTGCCGATGTGCCAGTGGGGAGGCCCGGCGCAAAAGCGCAAAAAAGATTTCTCCATCCAGCTGAATGGCCTCCTGGGGGTGGGACGAGCCATGAGAACAGGGCCCAGCCTATGGTGGCCCCTCAGAGTAGAACCGGCCCTGACAGGGGAATCTTCATCTTAGTGGGAAGAGGCCCAAAGGAAAGGGAGAGAAGGGCCACGGTGGGTCAGGGCAAGGATCTCCCTGTAGCCTTGGGGAAAAGTCCCAGCCCTGGATGCACCCAGCCTCCAGACACTCACCAACCCTGCACTGTAGTAACCTGGGAGGTACTTGTCGCAGATCTGCACCAAGCACCAAAAGGCTTGCTGTGAAGGGCAAGAACAAGGAGGCAGGGTGGGGCCTGAGAAGCAGGGAGTTCCCCATGACCACTTCAGGCCAAGATCCTCCCACCGCCTCCCCAACCAGGACCACATGTGCTGACCTCAGCAGGCATGTGCATGAGCAGCACCGCAGCCACCGGGGCCTGGGCCTGGCAGTAGCCTTCATCAGGCCGGTAGATGGTATAGGCCTTCAGGATTCGGTACAGGTCCTGCTGCCTGTGGAGATTGCAGAAGACCATGAGGGCATTCACAGACACTGGGAGCTCTCTGCCTCAAACCAAACCTCCTTCCCAACAACCGCGGCCCAGACCCCTTCTACATCCATTCCAGAGTCACCTCAGAGCTTCACCATCACACTGCTGTATCCACCTTCCCGTCCTGCCTTGCAAGCTTATGCAAAGGTTCAGCCCACAATCAGAGCGTTACAGGCTCCAGCCTTCCACCCTTGGCTGCCCCCCACCCTCCTGCTCCCTACCGTTCCCCAGCACAGGAGGCTGTGCTCTCATCCTCCATCTGCCACCATCTCATAGACTTTCAAGGTCATTTTCTCCAGGAAGCTTACAACACCCATAGCATCAGCCCTCCTCTAGCACTGTCCAAATGTGTGCATCAGCCAGAGCAGGAGCTCTCCCGGGGAGGGCTGGCCTTATCTCACCGGTTCTCATCAGTTCTCCCCAGCATGTCCAATGGGTCCTGGCTCTTGGTGAAGGCCTGGAAGCCAGCTGTGCCTCAGACCTTTCTCAGGTCTATGCATCCAGAAGAATAACATCCCTGCCCTAGACCCGCTCCCCTTCCTTAAGGGTGCCCCTTTGCCACATCTGGGACTTCACTCAGCCCGACATCAGAAAAGACAGCGTTCTGGGCCGGCCCAGTGGCATACTGCTACAGTGCGCTGCGGCGCTCCCGC